TGGAATTTCTCAACAATTTCCTCTCTGATATTATAATTATCTTTGAATCACAATTATTTATATCTTCCTCTGAAGTATTTGACTTAGAGATAGCGCAGCAAGTATGTGACACTTATTTGTCACCTGTTGCAACATGTTGCAACTCCAAAATTTTATAAGCCGCAACTAGTTGCAACTAGGTGATACTTTATTTGTCACCACGTTGCAACAGTTGCTGCGCTATCTTTAATTTGACTGTTCAGAATTTCTTAAAGTCTTTAATGAATTAATTCTTTATAAAGAAATTATAATTCCTTCTGGATCAATCATTAAAATAACAGAGATAATAGAACTAGTTGAATTCATAAATATAATACCAACAATATAAATTATCAAAAAACAATAATTCAAGGAAAATCTATTAATGAAATTTAAAAATGAACTTGAAAAAAGCTCTAAAAAAATATATTGTTAAAAAAAAGATGAAAAACAAAAATTAGAATACTATTTCGAAATTGGAGAAATGCTTCATAACTAATCATCAATATTTATAATAATTAAAGAGATCTATTCACCAAAAAATTGAAAAATATAAATTTTGTGAACAATAATTTCATATTGCAAAGAAAATCTTCAAAATATTTGGAACCAAAAAACTTCTATCACAAACTACTTTAAAATTGACATCTTCTCAGATATATTAATTAAGTAGAAAGGAAGTTAATAAATATAAAAATCAAGTTCAAAATTGATTTTGCAGAGCAAAATTTTTAAAGGAGAAACAAATATTACAATAGTAACATAAAAATTACAAATTCAAAAATAATCAAAAAATATTTATATAATGATAAAATCTCCTAGTATTATTTCACTTTTTATTATTTTACTTTTCATTTTTTTTCACTTTTATTATTTCACTTTTTCAATATTTCACTTTTTATTTTTTATTTTTTAGAAATTTCACTTATTATTTTATTTTTCACTTTTATTTTTCACTTTTTAATTATTTTATTTTTTATTTTTACATATATTATTTTACTTTTATTATTTTACTTTTCATTTTTTCACTTTTATTATTTCAATTTTTTGATTTTTCACTTTTTATTTTTCACTTTTACATATATTATTTCACTTTTATTATTTTATTTTTCATTTTTTCACTTTTATTATTTCACTTTCTGATTTTTTTACTTTTTATTTTTTACTTTTATATATATATTTTTACTTTTAATTATTTCACTTTTTTTAATTTTTCACTTTTTATTTTTCATTTTACTTTTTGCTTTTTACTTTTAAATAAATTATTTTACTTTATAATTAGTTATTTCACTTTTATATATTTTTATAATTATTTATTTCACTTTTTGTAATTTCGAAAAATATATAAATAGTGATGCTGTCTGAGCCTTAACTTGATATATTGTAACTGAAAATAAAAATCTCTCTTAACAAAAATCTTCTTCCAAATACTTTTCATCTCTCATATTTTCTTTATATACTTCAAATCTTGTATATAAGTGATCTTATATCATATTAAATTGAACAAATTACTATTATTAGATTATTGGACTTTATATCGTATTGTGTCAAACAAATTATTGTTATTGATTTTGGATTTTATATTATATTATGCTGAATAAATTATTATTATTGGATTATTAAGCTTTATATCATATTGTGCTAAACAAATCACTATATTGAAAATTATTAAAATTAAATTATAAATATTTTTACTTTTTGTTATTTTGAATTTTTAATTGTTATTGAATACTTTTCACTTATAAGAAGAACAAAGTGAAAGAGTCTTTGTTATTGTTATTACTAATTATATTATTTTAGTTCTAGAAAGCTTTATGCAAGTATAGAATTACTCTTTCAAATTCTTTTTATTATTTCTTTATATTCACTCTTCTCTTTGATCTTTACTCTTTTATAATTCTTCCATATTATTATTTCTTTTCAAATAAATACAATTTTCGTAGAAATTGATATAGGTTTTAGATATCCTTTTTCTCTCTTAATATTTTCTTTATCAATTTATAATCTCTTTCAATCCAGATCTTTATTTGTAAACTAATTTAATGATTAGTGAACAAACTTATAACAATATTCAAATTAATTTAATCAATTTTTTTTGCAAAATATAATAATAAATATATTATATTCTTATAATAATTAATATATTTTTATATTATATTTGAACTATTCTGCTTTGTAACAAAAAAAATAATATAATTTAGAATAAATTAATAAAAATTTTTATAAACTTAAATTTACTTATCAAACTTTAAGCAGATAATAGATCAAAGTTTATAATCAATAGTTTAAAATAAATTTGTAAAATATTTAAAATATAATTTATTCATAATTATGTTTATTATTCACAAAATCAAAAAAATATTTAAAAAAATATTTTAGAATAAAATTTCTAAAATTTAAAATTATTAATTAATTAATATTTTTTTTATTTATAATTATTTATAATAAAACACTTTAAAAAGTCATTTTATAAAGTATTTTCAGATTTAAAATATGTAAAATCTATAATATATTAGATAAAATAATACAAAAAATAATATAAGTTAATAAATCAAATAAAATACAGATTTTGAAATATTAGATAAAATACAAAAAGATAATAATATATCAAATACTAAAATTTGCATTTTAATTATTATAGAAAATAATATACTAAAGAAAAAAGCACAAAAAAATGATAAAACTATTCAAAAAAAGAATAATAGTAGTCAAGCTAATGAATTTAACAAAGTAATTATTACCATTCAAGAAAAGAATAATAATTAAAATATTTATAAAATTTATAGAATAAAGATAAAAAGAGTATAAAGAAAAATTGTATAAAATAAATTAGTAATTTATAAGTATTTATTAAAGAAAATTAGTTTTTAAATCAGAGAATAAAATTATAATTGCTTCTAATTATAATATTAATCAAAAAATAAGAAAATGAAAACTAAAATAGATTTATAATATTATCAAAAAGATTATTGATATATAAAGTAATAATAAAATTATTAGTATTAAATAAATAAAAAAGTAAAAATTTTTGCAATAAAAAATTTAAAAAAACTTGAATATAAATATAAGTAGTAGATAGTAATAATTATAATAATTATAATTATATTAATATTAATATTATATATATAAAAAAATAAATAAAAATATGAATTTTATCTATAATCCTGCTCTTAGTACAAACTGAATATTTGTGATTAAAGTAATTATTATAATTCAAGTAATATTTATAATTATTATTAGTATTCATAATTAAAATAATATTAAATAATAATATTATTATTTTAATTAATATTTACAATTCAAGTAATAATAATATTATTATTTTTGATTATTATTAATATTTATAATTAAAATAATAATATTATTATTTTAATTAATATTTATAATTCAAGTAGTTATTTTTATTTTTTGTAGTTATAATTAGTATTTGTAATTTATATAAAATTATTATTATTTTAATTAATATTTATAATTTAAGTAATTATTCTTATTTTTATAATATTTTTTGTGATTGCAATTAGTATTTGTAATTCAAGTAATATTATGATTATTTTAATTAATATGTGTAATTTAAATAATAATAATAATATTTTTATAATTATTATTAGTATTTATAATTCAAGTAGTATTATATATTTTTCACTAATTATATAATTAGCTAATAAATACAAATTGGAATTGGAGGAGGTAATTAAACAAATATAAATATAATAAGAAAAATTATTTAAGTTTTATATTAATTTCTATTGAAATTGTTATAATTCAAAAGAGAAACAAGATATAAAAAGAGAATAATAGTATTTTGATTAATTATATTTACTAAATAAGATATTTTAATCAATATATCAATTAAAATATTAATTAAAGTATTAATTCTTTGTACTAATATAAATATATTTCAAAATTAATAATAATAAAAATAAAAATAACAAAGATTCTTTTATTTTATTTTTTTTACAAGAAAAATATTATAATAACTTTAGTTGAAAAATTTCAAATAATTTAATTATAATAAAAATATTAAAAAATAATTTATAACAAATATTAATTTAATAACAATATTTTGATTAGCTTAATATAATTCAAAGCTACTTGTTTGCAAGATTTAAAGTGTATAGTTGAGAATAAAAGGTGAATTATTTAATTATTAAAAAATATTTGTTTTATTATTTTCAAGTTCTGACATATTGAGTTAAGACTCAACTACAACTTGTATTTATACATTTTTCATAAATATAAATATAATATTGTCATCATTTTCAGAGTCATTACCTAGTTAACCAGGTCGGGCTCGTTCCCAACCCGACCCGATTCGTACAGGGCTTCACGTAAGTTTAGGAATTCAAAGTTGGCAACACATGTAGCGCTACTGTTTTAGTTGGACGTTTCTTATGTATATAGCCACATTTAAATCGAAAGGTTCTATATTTATATTGCTTTTCTTTGCAACAATGACATTATCTTATTGAATACTTCAAGCAAGAGAATAACGATATTGAGAAACCGGTAATATTGTAGGTATTTTTACTGCGCTTCTTGCTTGATATAATTCTTACTCTACGTTACCTGGTTTTGATATGAGTCTAAAGAGTAAATAATTATCTTTTAGCATTCTATAAGTTCTTTTAAATGAATAATATCAAATTGCCTTTTAACTTATTGATGACTATTATAAGGCATGAAAGCATAATGATTCTCTTCCTATTCGAGTGATCCTACAAGAAAATTGCACCTAATATGTCTGCACAAAATATGAAATTCATGTATGTATCAATGAGATTATTGTATCACCAACATTCTAAAATTGAATTCACGTAAGTTTAAAAATATGGCTGTGAAAAAAATATAATTTCAAAAATAATACTTTTTTTATATAAAATACTGTGTATTCCTGCAACGTTAACAGAAATTTGAATTCTTACGGTTCAAGTCTCTTTACAAGCTTTTATAAACGAACTAAATAAAAAATGATTGTCTTCAAAATGCTACAATGCACTATGCGGACAATCAATACTTTTCCTGATAATTTTTATGCTCAAGCAAGGTTATTACATGAATCTTTTTACCCTATCGCTTTATTTGAAAGCAATACATGTACATGTATCAGATTCACAGAAAAGGAAGTCATCGACAAGATGATCCTCCATCAAAGAACGCAACAAATCCTACCAAACTAAAATATTAGCTACGTATTCAATGGATCATACAACAGATCCTAAATACTAACTGCTGCTACGGTCTTTGGTGCATCGATTTCTTAGTTGCTCGAGAATCGATTTTGGGTTGAGAATCGATTCCTTGAATTAAAATCGATTATATACCGTATTTGCCGTGAATATGTATAAGAAACACCTGGATAATTTTCTACCCTTCCTAAAAAGATAACACATGATCACACACCCTATATTATAATAAAAATTAATTATTTACATCTTCGACAATTTTTAAAACTGTTACTAATCATTTCTATAGGCATATCATTCCAAACTTCTAAAATCCATCTACAAATTTAAGCATAATTAGGTTTTCGCAAATTTCCACCTTAGTAAAAAGATTTATTAATGCAAACATCTAATGGTTGGCACATCTGGAATGTGTGCCAGGTTCGTGTCGCAGCAATAAAATTACCCAAAAGTTGATATATAGTTAGGGTTAGGTTAGAGTGGAGATCAAGGTTGTATGTAAAATTGCCTCACCGACATTTTTTATTAGTACTCCAAGTTAGATTTGAACATCCATTACCCGTATTTTTCGAATTTTTCATTTTTTTGCGTCAGATTGTTTTGCCGGCTGATCAAAAATTCGTACATCCTTATTGGTCTGTGCCACCAGTAAATCGCATTCTTATCTTATTGGACTGCGGCACGAACCTGGCACACATTCCAGATGTGCTAATGGTTGAACAAGTGATGTAAGACCACCGGATATAATAGCTAAATCAATATTCATCTGTTAAACATTTTTATTTTACAATTTTCGTTTTATGACCTTTAAAACTATCTAATATTAAAGATTTCATTTAATTTAAAATGATCTTCCATACTTCTTGAAGCCAAACTGTCATTAAATTTTCATCCATCCATCACTGCCTTGCATTCTAACTACAATATTAAAAGGAAAATTTTTTGCCTTTGAAAATAACCCAGGCTTAAATGTATTTCCATCAGCAAGAATTGTTAAAACGCATGTAAACCGATTCTTATCGTTATCATTTCCTGTAGTACGAAGTTGAACAGTGCAGGACACTTAAAGAAGCCAATAAAATTAGTCATCTTTAAAGCAAAGGATCTTTATACGAAGGACATACAAAAGAAGGTAGGCCGCTATTTTGTAGCTAGACCTATTTACTACAAAATAGCGGTCTCCGTTTTTTTTGTATGATCTTTGTATAAAGATCCTTTGTTTTAAAGATGGCTTCTTTAAGTGTCCTGCACTGTTCCTTTTTCTATTGTGGATTACCAACCACATCAAAAAATTTGGAGTTTCATCCATATTAACAATTTATGATAAAGGATATTGATTTTGAAATTATATAATTTAATAAATGTGTAAAATAATTCTAATTTTGAAGAAAGATTTATAGGTAATTTTTGAATAAAAAGATCATAACGATTCATAAAGCTATAAAGCCAATTATAAGATGCAGTAAAAGTTTTTTTTTGTGTCAACATATTATTGTAAACATTTATTATTGAGAAGAGATTTCATCTCTTTTTAAACCATATACGTATGTTGCAACAGTAATTCCATCTTGACGTAATCCACTTATTTAATTCTTCAATATGACGATTCTTAGATTTAGCTTTTAATAAAATTGAATCATTTTTACACCATTTGATATTTGTGCATAAGAAATTTCATATTTTTGTTCAGCATTTTGTAAAGAATTTTCTTTGCAATAAGCAATAATCCAAAGTTTTCTTTGGCTGTGTATGAGGAACGAATAGTTTTTGGCGTAATAAAAATTAAGAAGTAAAAATATAAAAAAAAGCTAGCTTCATTTTTGTCTTTTTTGATAATAACGATTTTTTAATTACATATTTTAACAATAACGAATTTTTTATTATTTTTTAATAATGACATAATTGTTAACGTTATCGTTATAAAATTACGTAATTGTATTTGTATTACATACCCTATTTTTAAGGTTCAAAAAAATAGGGTAGAAATTCCATCCTTAAACGACTAATCGTAATTGAGTAATCGAAATAATTAATCGATTTGTGGATTGAGAATCGATTCCTACTCTGAATATAAGAAAACAAAATTTATTCCACTAATAGATTTTCTATAAAAATTGTTTCAGGCAATGACACTCGAAAAATTCGAACCATTCAACTTATAGAAAACCTGATCTATATCAATTTGAAACAAAAATTCTTAGAAAAACAGAATATTGCCTCACAAAATCAAATGAGTCTATTATATCACCCGCTATTTTTCTCGGGTTTTTTTGTACCATTCTAAAGTCATGTCAAGATCTTTTTCAATTCCGAATCCGTATTGATAGCATTCAGTTAAACTGACTATGTTTGTTTCCTAATTCAGCAGACTTCAAGTACATTTCAAATGCTTTTTCTTTATTTTTTTGTGTTCCGCTAGCGTAATGACAACAGACACCAGGACTATGTTGTCCATTCAAATTTCCATTTTTTGCTGATTTCAAATACCATTCAAATGCTTTTTCCTTGTTTATTCGACTTTACTATAAATTGATCTTGTCCCGACATATTGCCATTTTCTACTGATCTCAAATACCACTCAAAACGCTTTTTGTGTTCTATTCCATCTTGATAGCAGTTACCAAGTTGATATTGTCCTTATACAGAGGCTTCTTATTTTTTGTGTTCCGATACCATTTTTTAGTAAAATGATTTAATAAAGTGCTTGATGATTCAACAGTTGTCTTAGTAAAGTTTCTGCCATTGATTGTTATATATCATTTGTCATGTTTTCTTTTGATGTTTGTATGTTTTGCAAAACAATTACGTATGCACCCTTTATTTTTATCGTTAATCGATGCAATATTGTTTTTACCATCATTTTTATGTTTTGTGATCTTGAAGGTCTCTTTAAAAGTGCATAATGAATCGATGCGATTAAGCTCCGTAATAGACACGAATAGGCACGAAAAAGTCTTTTCTATTTTAGAAGTTACTGTATTTTTAGTTTCGTCGAATGAAGATGAATTGACAGTAATTTCTGCCGTATTTTGTTACCTGCGCAAGAACAATCTAATAATAAAACTATGCTTTTATACTTTTTATTAAATTTTCTTTGATGTAGGCTAAACCATGTAACTTCGAGGAGTTTCAATACCGAAATTTTTCTCGCATACAGTATTTGTAGAGCCTAAATATTCGATATAATTTTAAATTAATGTGAACTATCAATACGATTATATTGAAAAAAGAAATGCGCCTGTATCGGTTAGGATTGAATTAGTTTTTTGTAAAAATTCATGGATTTGTTCGTATTTGTAGGAATGGTTTCATCTCATCAGGTTCTTCCCATTTCTGTTAAGATACCTTTTAATTTCTTTATTCTTTAAAGAGTTGTACTGAAAATGCAAAGTTGGTTGTTTGCTGAATATATAGACCAGTTGGTTGGTCTGTTTTTTGGAATAGTGTCCCAACATCTTAACGTTAAATGATAAATTTGTATCAATACGTATTGTTATACGTAGGCAGTACACAGAAGATAATGATCATTACTACAATAGCAAACATACGTGTTAAGATAAATGAAAAATTAGTATACGTAAACCAACACTAGTTAACATAACGATAAATATGAAGTCATTATGTAATTATGTTTGCAACTCCAACTTATATCGATACTGTCATTCTCGCCAAACGCTCTAGATTTCGACAACCAATCCTGCATTCATTGTTTCAGTTTCGAATGTCAAAGTGGATGATTTCTCGTGTCAAAAACCAATTTGACCAGTGGTTTTGAACTACGTACGTAGAGTCCAACAATATTTTACACAATAGCGGCTTCGTCCATTCGCATGAATGAAGTTCATGCTATTGGTGTAGCGCTCCATTTATACTATTAAACTAAGTCATATCACGCTTACAATAAAATTATAGTCCGACCACAAATGAACAGTGATGATTCTTTTTAACAAACATAACACGCACGTATACCGATACGTAGTACATATTCTATTCTGTTGTCATTAATACATAGTAATAGTAAGTAACAATGACAGTTTCGCAAACGTACGTGATAAACGAAACTTAGTAATTGAATAAACTATCAATTGATACATAAGACCCTGTACACTGTAAAAAGTGGATTTAGAAAAATGAATAAATAAAATGTTGATAAAAAGTAAAGGTTAAAATGATAACCGATTCAATGATTATCGTTATCTACAAGATCATGATCTCTAACGCTAATAACAAATTAAAAAGTTTTTATTCTTTATTCTTTTTAATATGTTAAATTAATGCTTACCAGAAGAGCATAATATTGGAAGTGTTCCATCATGAAGTTGTAGCTGTTCTTGAAAGAAATTCGATATCTTCATTCTCGTTAACTTCATCTATATCTGTTTTGCAATCCAAAAGAAGAAAGAGTAATGAATTAATGAAGTCAATAAGGAAATGGTATTAATATAGTGTTACCTTCGTTTGGAACAAACAAACTGACCCTTGTCAACCCTAAACATTGGATATGAATTTATTTTACTTGTCAATATGATTTATATTTAAGAAATAAATAGAAAGTACCTGTGTCAGTTGGAATTGTAATTAATTTCGCAGTAAAGACTCGACTGGTGTAAACTGCATTTGGGTGGATTTGTTGTTTTTTTATTCTAATGTTTTTTCGATATTTTATGTCATCAAATCTCTTCTTTTCTAGTTCAACACTCTCCTTAATTCTATACAATTTCTTCTTTTCTGGCTTAAAACAATATTTAAGTTCATGTAATTTCTGCTTTCCTAGTTTAAGATACTCTTTAATTTCATCAGTTTTAAAAAATTCTAAGGAACTGTAGTACTGAAAATGCAAATTATTCAGTTCCCAAGTATGCTTATACGGACTTATAGAATGAATAAAGTCTAGAAGTTCCTCAGCAGCTGGCCTGTTCTCTGGAATAGGATCCCAACATTTTTCAATAATAAATTTGCACAATCTGGGAACATTATTTGGTATCGTAGGTCGTACTCCGTT